ACTCCATCGGGGGTTTCCGGAGCGCGTGAGACCTCAGAAATGATTAAAGGTTTTGTCACCCGATGCTCTCTGACTGACTTGAGTCGGGTGTAACCCATTAGGAGAAGATTTTGCCTGAAGGATCCTTCAACAAATCAAAATGCAGAAAAAAGTCAGGTGGGCGGGCCCTCTGCTGAGCCCGTGTAAAGACAAAGATGCAATAATTGACAGCTGCAAGCATGTGGTGATGCTGCTGTGTTTGTTATGCTCAGATCAGTGTGCCATGATTACCATTGTAGGCTGTTACCAGACCATTAAAATCCAGGAGCCCGTGTTTCCTTTATTTATCTGTTAATTTGGCATTGGGAGAAGTTCAGTAATAAATGTCCACCGGGTCTGCGGGACCTCTGTCATTTCTTATTTTCTTGATAAAGAAGTGAGTGTGTCCTGCATACAGAGCTAGTGAGCAAGCTGTCATGTTGTCTCCTGCAGGCAGCCTCAGAGGTGGTTCAACACGGCCGACATCACAGTGTCTCACCAAAGCAACATGCTGAAGCAGCTCAACCAGCAGCGTCGCCAGGAGCTTTTCTGTGACTGCAGTGTGTTGGTGGAGGGCCAGCTCTTCAGGGCTCACCGCAATGTTTTGTACGCCAGCAGCGGCTACTTCCGCATGCTGCTGTCCCAGGGGCCCGATGACTCTGTCAACGCCACCTTCGACGTCTTCAGCCCCGAGACCTTCACCGTCATCCTGGATTTCATCTACTCCGGCCAGCTGGACCTCTCCAGTCACAATGTGATTGAAGTTATGTCTGCAGCCAGCTACCTGCAGATGAACAACGTCATCAGCTACTGCAAGAACTTCATCAAGTCCTCCTTGGACATCAGTGTGAAAGATGAAGACAGCGATCGCTGCCTCAGCTTGTCTGAGACCTGTAGCTTTACCAGCGGAGCAGGAGAAGACTCCACAGAGCAGCATCAGGGCCCCTGCTCTGTTAGCCCTCCACCTGCGCTCTGGACTCGGGACAACTCCAGATCACAGTCTAGCTTTATGGGAAAGGACTCGGACCAGGATCCTTCGGCCTCAGCCCTGAAGACTGACCCTAACAGCCCTGTTAACGAGCTCAGTGCAGATGCAGAAGACCTCCAGGACCCTCAGGACCCTTTGTACACCTTGCCTGGATCAGAGCGTCGGCGTGGAAAAGGGAGCACAAAGAGGCGAGCGTCCAACAGCGCTCGGTCCAACCAGCACGAAGACTTGGACATCCAGGAGGCACGGACACGAAAGGCTGAAAAGGCAGAGGAGCTTTACGCTACTCTACCACCGATTGTGGGTGTTATTGGACACTTTAATAAAGGTGTGTGCTGCCAGAAGATGATGATGACTGGAATACTTGGACAGAGATGATAGGAAAAAGTCAAATGTCACAATTTCTCTGTTCCTCTTTGCAGATTCGAATCCTACCATGCGCTTCAAATGCCCCTTTTGCACACACACAGTGAAGAGGAAAGCAGACCTGAAGCGTCACCTGCGCTGTCACACCGGGGAGAGGCCGTATCCATGCCAGGCCTGCAATAAGCGCTTTACTCGCCTGGAGCATCTACGCAGCCATTTTGAGACAGTAGGTGTTTTCACAGCAGATGGTAAATTTACACTTTCTTCTGTGTCTGTGTCGGCTTACAGCTCCAGGAAAACAAGCTGCTAAACAAATTTACTCTAATATTGAATAAATCTTTATCCGATCTTTTCTTTTTCTTTTTAATCTCCCAGATTCATCAAGCCAGGAAGCTGGTGTGCAGGAAGTGTAAGTGTCAAGTGACCGAGGAGACCGGGCATGTGGTGTGTGAGGGCACGAGACGCTACCGCATGTGCACGGCGTGCATCCAGGAAGTGGGCTGTGACGACGTCCCCATGAACAGCCTGGAGGGGCACAACGAGGAGCCGGCACTGTTACTGGGCGTGGACGGGGAGGAGGAGGGGGACACAAAGAGGAGCTGGATGGTGACTGACGACGATGACCTGGCAGAAGACTCGGGCGCCGACCTCATCATCCAGCAAGTGGACGTCAGCGACGAAGAGCTGCAGTGAAACTGGACCAAAGTGTGCGTGTGTTTGTGTGTGTGCAGATGCGTAACCATATTTGAAGTGTTTGTGTTTTAAAGTGCCCCTGGTATGCTTATTTTCAGTTTAGGGGTTTACTACAATAAGTTTACATTCATTAGTATTCAAAAATCATTTTTCTCATATTGTACTGTGCATAGTGTTACTGCTGCTTCTCTTTTCACCATCGGCCTGAAATGATCTGTTCTAGGAAAGCGAGGTATCCAGCCAGAGTTACAAGTACCCCAGAGAGTACTTTAGCAAGAGCAGTTAATTAAATTACAATTTCATTAAAGAATTGATTGAACTTAAAGAATTTTTGGCAGATAATTAATTGAAAGTAATGGTTAAAAAGAAGAATTGGGCGAAAATAGTCATGCATAAATGATTCAAACATATAAGAAATGATCAAAAATGAAATATCCTGCTAAAAGCACAGCTAAAATCTTTAGCTAAGAGAATATGCAGTTCAAATGGTTCAATAGTGGATGAATATAACAGTTATATAAAAGTTACAATTAAAACACAACAGAAAAATAAAACCTGTTTTCTAGGCTGTATTATAACACAACTAAAGATGGTTAGCCGTGCAGCATTTTTGTGATTTCTACTGTCATTAGTTTTTTTTTTAATTAAAAATGGAATAAAAGAAATTCACCAGGTCTTCAGTTCATCAGCCGGAGGGCACAAAAGCTTGTTTTCATTCTTCCAGCCTCGCAGAATACTTGGTTTGCTGACATGTTTTACATTTCGTTTGTAGAAAAGAGAAAAATGGCAGACTTTTAGGCAGTTGGTGCAACTGGATGTAGCTGAGGCATTCTTTGTTTAGCTGCTAAACTGGCATTTTACATGGTGACATAGAGAAGTAACGGAAGAACAGCCAGTTTCACAGGCAGTTTCACTTCAGTGTTTTGTGTGGGTGGGTGAAACTTTACTTTTAATAAAGGTGTGAAGAATAGGGAAAAACCCCAAAAGCTTAACAGGGGCACTTTAAAGCCATGCAGGAGAGTTTATGCATAAAATGTGGGATTCACTCATGTAAAAACATACGTTTATGATATGTTGTGTATTAGTTTAGTCTTTTCTTATCAGTTTGTTGAGCTTTGTCAGAAAAAAAATGAAGGTTTTCTGTTAAGCTTCATAAAGATATGCAGTATCTGAAGCATGCATATTATGTGTTTCCTTTGCTTCAATCATAATATGATATTATAATCTTTTCAATAAGCTTTTTTTTCTCTCGTGCATGAAAAGCTTTGGTCCTTTTGGCTGCTTTCTGCCAGCCTTTCAGCAAAAAGGTGAAGAACAGAATGATCACCTGTATCCTGTAGGGACAGTCTTTTTAAATGTTTTGTTATGATATGCAGTATGATACAAACGCATAATTTATTTGTTTGTTTGTTTGTTTTTTACTTTTGGACACATTAAAGATATTTTTATAAATTTGTTTCTGGGTCTTTAACTTTAATCACGAACAACCGAACGACTTCTCATTCAAAGGAGGCTCTGTTTTTTATTATTCTTATAGGAGTATTAAATGGTGTAAAGTAAGATAGAAGTAAAGTCATAGAAAAATAAATAAGATAAAGGACAACGATTGTGGGAAAACTGGTAACAGTGAAAAAGTGCAATAAACTAAACCTGAAAAAATTATAAAATTTTGTACATAGTTTTGTCATCTTGGAACAAATACATCAGTATATACAAAAACTTTACAACTCTGAATGCAAATTGCATGTTACCAATAAAATCAATTCTGGAGTCATTACGGCATCTGTGATGGAAAAGTTTAAATAATAAACGACAAAATATTACAACAATGTTGAATATAACCTATTTAAACAGTTCTATAGTTTGCTTTCATAATGGTGTGTTTTGTAGATGCTGACAATGATTTTCTTACATCTTCAAGAATGTTCTTGGTTCGATGTTGTGGGGAGGTTTTTCTTAACCATGGAAATAATTCTGTGATCATTCACTTTAGTTGTCTGCTGAATTTCTTGCTATTCCTCTGATACACCTACTTTTGTTCTTTAAACCTTATTCTGAAAGTTCCTGTCGTGGAATTTTTTAGTAATAAAGTCTGCAACACGGTCAGCTGTGGTCAGGCTATTTTAATTACTGCATGCAGGAGAGCCAACACACATCAAACATCACAGTTCACAGTCATGCGAGCTCTGCCCTTAAGATGTTGCAGGTCTCTTTTATACCCACACACAGCTCTCGGTATCTTTTCCGTTACAACAGGTTTTTTGTCCCATGGGCTGTTGCTGGGCAGAGAGCAGTTTCCCATGAAGATCCCGGCACTGGTCTTCTTGGGAGTTTCGTCCTTGTACGCCCTTACAGTTAGCAGATAACACAGTGAAACATTGTTTCACAAGGTCATATTGACACATAATGTGAAAACTAGAATTTTCCCCATTACATTACAGATAAAAGCTACCAAACACAAGTTCAACACTTCGACAATAAATCAACTCTATATGTTTTATCTGGTTAAACTGCCTTGCCATTTACCACTGAAGCTCTGAAAATGAAGGACCACGAACACATAGTCTTTCATCCATAGTTTGCCACTGTAATAGTGTACAGATGCAAAATTACAAATATTGTGGACCTAATTATATTTTAAAAGGAAAGGAAACATATCTGGCCACAAGGAAAACCAAAAGTGAGCTAAATTAAAAATTAAAAGATAATAATTAATAATCTGGTTTTGCTTGAAGTTTCTTCCTGCTAACATTGAGTTATCTCGTTCCACTGTCCACAAGTGCTTGCTCACAGTGGGTCGTTTGATTTTGAGTGTATTGTAGAGGATACAAAGCGCCTGGAGGAAACTATTATTGTGATTTGGCGCGTCATAAATCATAAACAATTCTTTCAGTTCCACCCTTTCGCCCATAGATGGCGTCCACGCGGTGCTTTCGTGAGCCTGTGAGGACTCCGCGCCTGGAAGGGACGTCGTGACGTCAAACCGGAGGCTGGACCATCATGGCGACTGTCATGAAGCTCGTCCACAGGAACGCTTTAACGTCGCTTATGGGGCAGCACTGCCTGTCGTTCAGCTCCGCGGCGGCGCACAGAGCAGTGAGTTTGAATTGTGTGTGATATGACGCGCTGCTTAGATGCACGGCCGTGTTTGTCCGCTAGCTGTTAGCGTCCCCTGCTGTTATGCTAATTGTCGTTACATGTTCGAGGCCCCTAACCCTAGCTGATGGCAACACTTGTTTCTTCTGTTCGTGTTTTAGGCTGGAGTAAGAGCGGCCCAGGCTTTTCCAGGGAAGGTGAAAATAGTGGAGGTGGGACCAAGAGACGGCCTTCAGAATGAGAAGGTAGCGTGTGTTTACGATGGCGCAGGCGCATAGTTCGTGCTTTGCGTCACCAGGTGATAACAGAGTTACCCGAGTTAGTTATGTCGATACTTACATAACCAACTCTTTGCACTTTCAGACTCTTGTACCAACAGAGGCCAAAATTAAATTAATTAACATGCTGTCAGAGTCGGGGCTGTCCGTCATTGAAGCTACCAGCTTCGTCTCCCCAAAGTGGGTTCCACAGGTGAGTATGCACACGCACACACAGTGCTGGCACATCCGGCTAAGGGCAATACACAAACTGCATGACTTCTTTCTGTCACTGCTGACCGGTTTCTGTCATCCAAATGTTAGATGGCAGACCAGGTGGAGGTGATGAAGGGTATCAGCAGGAAGCCCGGGGTGACTTATCAAGTCCTCACCCCCAATCTCCAGGGTTTCCAGGCTGCTGTGAGTGTCAAGCATCCAATCTCATCAACCGTCACTACATAAACATCCTCCATCGCCATCTTCACACACAATCGTTGGTGCTTCAGTTTAATTCCTCACAAGAAATGCTCTTATTTACTTCAGGTCAAGGCAGGAGCCCCAGAAGTAGCCATATTTGGTGCTGCGTCTGAGCTCTTCAGCAAGAAGAACATAAACTGCTCAGTAGATGAGAGTTTACAGCGCTTTGACGAGGTTATGAAAGCGGCTAAAGAGGCCGGTGTGCCAGTTAGAGGGTAAGAATAGTGGCCTCCCCTCAACTGTCAGCAGATCTTTAAATCACTTCAATTGCCCTCTAATTCTTGCTTATGTGCTTCTTGTCATCACAGTTATGTCTCCTGTGTCGTCGGATGCCCGTATGAAGGCAAGGTGGCACCTGAAAAAGTGGCACATGTGAGTTATGGCTTGTTTAAAAAAAAAAAAAAAAAAAGCAAAACTATTTTGCATTAATTGATGTTGCCGCTCAATCTGTCCTCTGCCTCACAGGTAGCTAAGCGGCTATACTCCATGGGCTGCTACGAGATTTCTCTGGGTGACACCATCGGAGTGGGAACTCCAGGCAGCATGACTAAAATGTTGGAGGCAGTGATTAAAGAGGTGCCCGTCAGTGCGTTGGCGGTGCACTGTCATGACACCTATGGCCAGGCTCTGGCTAACATCCTTGTAGCTTTACAGGTCAGGCTGGTTTGAGACTATTTTGTTTACACACACATATTTTAGGGCTGCCACAAACGATTATTTTGATAGTCGACTTGTCAGATCATGCATCCATTGGACCTGAAATGTACAGCTTATTGCTCCAGCATGTATCTGCTCTTACATAACTATCATTAGCTTACAGCTTAAAGTGTTTAAGGTATGTGCTCCCTAAAAATAAAGATACGATGACAGTTTATTAAAGATTAGATTAGGTAAAACTTTATTAAAAAATTGTTCTTGAATTCAACCATTTCTAAGACACGTGGGTGAAAATCACCTGACGTTAGTGTTCTAGGGTTAATCTTTGAGTAATGCAGAAGGATAATTGGGTGTCCTTTTAGCTGATCTGTTGTTTGCAGGATTGTACTCAAATATTTGATTTCTTTAGGCGGGGTTTGTATCATCAGGCTTGAGTTTGCCTCACTGTTGCCAGCTTGGGTGCTACTTTTTAACCTTCTTTAAAAAAATACAGAGGAAAAACATTATTTGTGGTTCTGCTTTTCGGAGCAGGAGAGTGAGGAACACCTCTCTGTACACCGAGTGAACTGCAGCAAGGCTGACGCTTTTATTGTTTGTAAAGGGGGGAAAAGGAAGAGTTGTTCTGTTGCTTCCAATTTTCTTTCTGTGTGATTATATAGAGGAAGTCACATGACAGCCATTAACTTCCAGCTGGTGGTGCCATGTTGTTTGTGTGTATTTTTTCTTAATCACCCCATTTTGCTGTTGATTACCACTCAGTCTCTTTAAAAGAGAACCTGGTATTTTTGAATAGCTGCAGCTGGTCACTGTTGTCTGTTTTCCTGATTTCTATGCTTTGTGTTTGTTTGTTTTTCAGATGGGAATCAGTGTGGTGGATTCATCAGTAGCTGGACTGGGAGGCTGTCCCTATGCCCAGGGGGCTTCTGGGAATGTTTCAACTGAAGATGTAGTTTATATGCTGCACGGACTTGGAATTCAGACGGTAGGAGGACTTCAGACTTTGTCTGCGTCGATGCTGCTCGATCTGCTACCTGGCTGCTTGAAGATAATTACGACTTCCGTGCTTAAGTGCTCTAATATGACCTCTTAAATTTTGTCTGTACCCCAGGGAGTCGACCTCTCTAAGCTGATGGATGCTGGAGCTTTCATCTGTCGAACCCTCAACAGGAAAACCAGCTCCAAGGTGGCACAGGCAGCCTGCAAACTGTAGAGGAACGACAAACCAGAGGCTCTCTCTCTCTCAGACTGAACACTAAAGCGTGATTATGTAACCTGGAGCTGTCTGTGTTTTTTGTTGGGTTTTTTTTTTTTTTTGGGGGCGGCGTTAATTTATCGTCTATGGAAGATCGGGATCAGTAGGCTATGCCAGTCAAATCGGAGTAAAATATCTAATTGGATATTAATATGACAGCATTGCTGGAACGGTGCCTTATGTAAAGTAAGTGTAATCACATCATGACCTGTGTGCCTGTGTTTTAATAGTGTGCTTGCATTAGTTTCCAGGCACTGGCGAAGCCGACATGATCGCCAGACTTTGTTTATAACAATAAATTATCCAGTAAGCATCTTGTGGGCATGGATGACATCACCGTTTGAGTTTCCATCATTCTCCATCCTCGACTCAGGCATTGAGCTGGCTGGTGAAAAACTGTATTGACACAGGTTATTTTTATTTTAAATGTATTATTTTCAAATCTAAAATGCAAATGTTTCTGTAGACTTTGTTTTAAAAATAAAGATTGATAAATTGTCTTGAATCTTAAGGATCACCTGTGTCTTATCTGGTATGATTCGTGGCCTGAAAGGTAGCTATACCTATACTCACATTTATTTTGTGCTTTTTAACCGTACCTCACACCCACAGCCAATTTAGAGTCATCGGTTAACATGACATGTACGTCTCTGGGCACCAGAGAACATGCAAACTCCTCCAGAAAGGCCCCAGCTGGGTTTCAAACTAGTACCTTGTAACGATGAGTTTGCAATGCAAGTCAATGGAGGTGAGAGTGCATCATCACCATTTCTATAGTAATTTTCCAGCTTGCGTAAATGACTCAGGATAAAAACGGTTCCTGCTACACCTTTTAAAACCGGCTTTGTGAGCCTGACAGGCAGATTGAGATTCCAGAAATGTCCGCTAAAGATCTTAGACAAGCAAAGCCCGTAGGAATGAGTCGGTGACCAAAATCTAAGTTATGTAGTTATCTAAATTCTAACTTGTTTACAAATGTGAAAGTTGTCAAACGTATGTTGATTTTTCAAATCAACGTATGTTTTTGAAACAACTTGAACATAATATAATGACAAGCAGACGTCCCACCTGACCACAGATCGGCCTAAAAAAAAAAATTAATCAAGGGGATTAAAGGCAGCTCTTAATAGCAACAAAGTAGAGGATGAAGCTAGGGCTGTTTTTAGACATTTTAGGCATTTGAACTGGCATGGAGTGACGCTCTGATAAAAGAACAAACAGAAACATATTCCAAACATTTAACATCTTTACAATTATAAAAATGAAATAATAACAAGGACAGGAAATACAATTCCTCAGAGCTTCCACAGTCGCCAATGAATGACTCACAAAAATACTTGAATACAGTTCCGTGAGCCGTGTGTGTGTCCACAGTCTTCCAGCACTGAATTAAACAGCAGCATTCCTTTCACCTTTAAAATCAACAGTGGTCTTGGATCAGACGGCGTTGTGTACAAGTACGTCAAAACACAGCGTGTCTACAGCATAAACTGAGACCAAGCAACATGTCTACCAAGGATTCAGAAGGAACAATGCAACAACAATAAATGCATTTTTTGTTACCATAGTTGATCCTAAATGCAATAGAAAACTCATTTTTTAAGCCAGTTTGCACAATTTCTACTATTCCTCAAACATACGTATCACCAAACGAGCCTCCACACTCTGCTGCACAACACTTTACTATAAAACTGGGAAAGGAAATCCATGATTTAAGTTCAAATTAAAATAAAGGGATCACAGAAGCAAAACGGGAAGTAGGGTGCTCAGACATGTGGATACTGGCAGGGAGGATTCATTACCACCACCAACCCCTCACCGCGCAGTGAACCTTTATTAAAAAATTCAAACCGCATATCACTAAAAGACCAATTTTGCTTCAAGCCAAAACAAAAGTTCATGTGCTCCTTAAGTGTTGCATGTGGACACAAGGGTCCACAGGATGAATCCAGTACTGATGACTCAACTTCCAGGCTCTGACAGAATGTAGTTTGGCTCATTGTTCTGAGTCTCTCATTTTTTTAGTTCTGTCTTTGGATTGCAGCCCAAACTCTGCAGAGCTTTTGCTCTTTGGCCTGGTTTCAGCTCTGATCATGAGATAGATAGGTTAGGAGCAGAGGCTCGTATCTTCTCCTCAAGTCTGATTGCAGATGGTCTGTATGGAGGAGACTTGTATGAAGATTTGAGGAATGAAGGCTTTTCCTTTAGATCATGCTTCGACCCAACACGGTTGGAGTTGTTAAAGGGGTCCTCAAAGTCGTCATGTTGGATGTCCATGGCGCGGTTGCGTCTTTTAACCTTTTTTGCACACTGTACAATGCGCTTGTAGATGAGATAAAAGATCTCACAGATATTCAGGACGATGCAGAGGGCTGAAGCTCCGACCATGAAGTATGTAAAGACTTTTTTTTCAGTGGGGTGACCAATGTAGCAGTCCACAATGTTCGGGCAAGGCGACACTTCACACTTGACCAGCCTTGGCAGGTAGAAGCTGTTGTATATTCGGTGGAGGATATAGAGGAAAGCGATTTCAATGCCCGTCTTAGCAAAGAGGCTGATCAGGTAAGTCCACCATAAGCCGCCATGTTTCTTGCCCGTGTTGTTGTACAGCTTGGTGTTCTCACCATGCTTGGCCTTGTACTTGCGCTCACGGTCATCACGATACGCCACATGCATGACCACCATTAATGATGGACAGGTGACAAAGATGAGCTGCAAGGCCCATAGGCGGATGTGGGAGATGGGGAAGAAGTGATCATAGCAGACGTTGGCACAGCCGGGCTGCTTGGTGTTGCAGTCAAAGTCCTTCTGCTCGTCACCCCACACTCGTTCTGCTGCCACCACATACACCAACACCCTGAACACAAACACCACTGACAGCCAAAGACGCCCAAATGCCGTGGAGTATTTGTTCACCCCACTGAGGAGGGCTTGAAAGGTTTTCCAGTCCATGGTCTAGTCTGGCAGTTAAGTATCTTGGTAGCAGTTTCTCTTCAGACCTGGATGTGGTAAAATGAAGAATGGTTGAGCATATATTCACTATCACCTGAATTATCTGCTTTGAGACTCTGAACGTTAGTGTTTGTGAGCTCTTACATACGAGGCTTTCTTTAAAAATAAAAACATTTTCTTACTTAAAAGGAAAAAAATGGCACTGGATCTTGTAAAGCTGATTTTTTATTTAAAAACAGCTCCCACTTCTAATCTATCAGTGCTACCAGAAACACCCACAAACGCAATTATGAGGAGGCTTCGTGCCAGCTTGATCAAAAAGGAAATAGCTGAGCCAACACTAACACACCCAACCTTATACACATAAAATGTACTTTTTGGAACTTTATAGTTAAACAGTTAAACATTAAAAGGAGATATATAAGCACCAGTCCTATCATGTTAATTTGTTTATGAGTAGACGCGGGTTCTTGGAATCTTTACAGGTCGTTAAAAAAGCCTTTTACGCACGGGCTGTCTTGGGTTTTGTTTAGTTTTTTGACTTTTTGGACACCGCGGTACGTACATGGCTCTTCTCATTCACCAGAGATAAATTACAGTTACGTAAATTGCTCCACGAAAGTCCGCGAATCGATCACTCAGCCTGCGATCATTTCCAGCTTGCGCAAACGCGAAGTACATTTACGAAGTTTAAATGTCAAAATCAAGAGGAGGAAGAAAAAGGTTTTCACTAACCCAAGAAGGTTAATCCATAATTGTTCCAAACCGATGCAAGCACGTGTTTATTCCCCGATGATCTGTCGTTTCTTTTAGTTCGTTTGACTCCTTTAGTGCACAGACTTGGCTCTGCTCGCCAGGTAAGGGAGCGCAGTGCTGAGAAATGTCTTTGTGGGTGTGGTTAATACGAAAGACTAGAACTTACCCCCAGATTTTCCTCATCTCCCTCTCTCCATGTGCCTCTTGTTCGCCAAGACAGTATAAAAACTATCACAGCAACGAACTGCGTTGTTTCCGGGTAATTCTGGTAGGATTTGAAAATACGGGAGCAATCACCACACTTGGTTCAAATGTACTGGTGGCAATCTGGGGACCACCAGGAATCATTCTGAGGGTCTGAAGATCAGACTTATCATCACTTCACAATGAATAAGAGTTTTCTTCCCCACACATGTACCTTCTGAGGTGTACCAATATTAATCTGACTGATTAAATCTCATCGAACAGCGTTAACGGGCATTAAACCCCTTCAATATATTACTTATTTATTTTTCAAAGGGTTAAAAGGCAAAGCACTTAGCTTCATTTTTTATGTTTGAGGATTCCAAGAACAGGGTTTGCTGCCTTGCCTCAACTTGTTTCTGAGTGCTTAACAGAGTAGACTAAAAGGAGGACACACCCTAAGGTGAATACATTTTTTGTTGTTATGTGTGACTCTTCCTCTTCATGTTGAAACTTTCCCTACACTACTTTTTTTTTTTCTTCTTTTAACGAGGTTAAAGCAAAAGATTAGACTTTTGTTAGCGGGGAGATCAGTTTATATATTTGTTTGATTTGTGTTCTTTTCTTTGTAAATGAATCAGTTTTCTTCTTTCAAGGCTGAATATTGTGTTTCCTTTATGCTTTTTGAAACGTCTACTCGTCTCAGATAACAACTCACAAACTCCCAGAACGCTCAAGCTCCTCTTCATTGTAAGATCATAAGCTGCAGCTTTTGTCTCCTCTTTATCATAGGTTAAAAACTATTGTATTATTTTGCAGATGAAGATCCTGTCTGGAACATCCAATGTCTGTTTGTTTGAAATTCCAGGGCCTTGCTACAACTTGCCAGCTCTTGTGCTGAAAGCATTTCTATTCAGTCTTTGAATACAAATAATATAATGCAATAACATAAGTCAGGTTTGTTTGTACTGTTTAGTATCACAAACACAATGCCCTAATGGGTTTGATACAGGCTCATAATAGCCATGTCTCCCCACCAAACACAAAAGTTAAAATAAGTCCAGGAAAAGTTCGCAGAAATCACAGAAGTTCCTGTTCAGGTGTCACATGCACGGTGCAAAACCAAACCTGATCATCAAGTTAAGTTACTGTTACTCTTTGCACCTTGTAAACCGCTTAAAAGACAAAGATATAATAAGAACTGTGAACCAGAACCAGGTGAAAATGTGCACAACCACAATTAATTCAACTGTATATCTTTAAATGCTTTAGAAAGAACTTCCTTTACATATTCCAGTCTTGCATTCAAACAACAAACACCTTTGTGTCATTTTGTAAATGTAAAAGCAACACTAGATGCAGATTGTTGGAGTGGTGCTCTCTTTAAATGACATGGCTGAACTTGAAGCTTCAGCTGTAGCTGAGCTTTTCAGGAAATCCTCTGAGGGCAGGGCAGCACAACATCAGCAATTCACAACTTAGATCAGTTCAGTGGACAGAAATTACATTCAATTCGGGGAGGGGTTAAAAAAAAGAGTCTTCTAGACTTTAAATGAAGAACTAGTCAAGGCAGATGAGGCACGCCTGGAAAAATGCCGTCTGTGACTCAACCGTGGCAAGTCTTTACGTGAGAGGCCAAAACAACAGGATAAACACTTCTCTGGTTGTGATGAAAGTAAGGAAACAGAACAGAGGAAGTTGGTGCAAGATGAGAAGATACACCAGGGAAGGTCTGATGATGAGGCTCATTAAAGAAAAGACCCACACAAACAGACCACATAGAACAAGCACAGAACAGAGCTGAACATAAAGCTGCTCTAAATTTCAGTGCCAGTTTATATTACACAATACTTTATGTGACGAAGGTTAATAAAGTTATTATTGGGTTATTGTCATCACCAGAAAATATCAACTATCAAAGGTCCACGTTCGTCTTGTGCCTTTTCCCTTGTGGAAGGATCCTCTAAAAAATCTTGGACTAATTTATGTTAATAAGCCAAATCATGACTGGTCACACTGCTTCAGGAAAACCTGCATTGTTCCATGACAGGAAAACATTATGGCCTTAACTACAGTTATTCTCATTTCTAATGCATCTAATTGTGCTGGACCTGGTGGGAAACAACCACCTATTCCAAAGTTTCTCCTACCAAAAGCCCCAAACTCAACAACAGCGAGTTAAATATATAAGACAATGTAAACTTGCAAATATTCTCATTTGTGGCAGACGGTACCAGTGAGTTTTGGGGGCATTAGTCAAATAATCTCAACTACTTAAGATTCTCTCAATCAATATTTAATTCATCTCTAGATGGGCCCAACAAGGACCTCTGGCAGCCTGGAGAATATTTCTGAAAGTTCAGGTAATTTTAAGGATCGCTTGACCTAAGTCATGTACACACATACCAAAACAAAATTTTCTGCTTAGTGCACATCTGTCATATTTCTGATGGCATTCCACAGTGAAGGTGAAAGTGGCTTTCCTGAATGTTATTACGATAATCTACAGACCTCAGGGGTAATTTTTGAAAAGAGTGTCTACTAAAATATACTTTAACACTTCCAGTTGAACATTCACGTCTACATGTCTCAATGAGAGCAAAAAACTCTCTCCTTAGATCTACTTCATCTCTCTTACAGTGTAAATACTGAAGCTGTCCATTCAGAATAGCAAATTCCTGTGCTGGGTGGATCCACACGTCAGCAGGGATGAAACAAACCGAGGAGTGGGAGGTTCCTGCTCTGCCCGTTTTAAAGTACCAATCAACTGTAAAAAGTTATGAGGGCGCTGCTCATGGCAACAAAGCAATTTGTGCAGCCAATGAGAGAGGGCCTTATGAAACACACGGATGAAGGAAGAAAACAAGAGAAGAAAGTCTGACGCCTTAGTCCAACCACAGAACCTCTAATCCTTTTCTGGACAGGCCGCCTGCTTTACATTGTTCTGCATGGGAATCTGTTTACTGGAACTACAGCTCTCATTCTGAAGTTAATACAGTATATGCTGCAGTGTGTGGACCTCTAGGACTCAACCCTGCACTAATAAAAACACACTCAAAATGCAAAATTATAATCTTTAATGAAAAATAATCACAACAAAACTGCATCTCAGTACAGTGAAATATAAACACCCTGATATCACTGACTGCTCTTTGTTCTCTACTGCATGTACACAGGAAATACAGAAAGTAAAATGCAGCAACTTTCCAACCTTTTGATAAATAATGAAAAATACAGTTCACCAAGAGTCTGACACACTGAGTGTCTGAGTCAGAGGGAAAGACTGCACACAGTTTGAACCAAACATCTTGAGGCTGGGCAAGAGCAGAAGGAAAATCTTACACACAAACCACATGTGTTTGTAAAACCTTACTCGCCAAACCAGCGAGTGACTCATGTATTTGATCTCAAGGCTCAGTTGGACACCGCTTTGCACAAATTGTTTTTTATTCTCTGCAAGGGCTAAAGAAATGTAAACTGTAAAATAAGTCCCTACAGCAGAGAGGAGTGCAGAATTTAAACTTTTAAAACCATATAGAATAAACTACACTGCAGTTCAGTCTCTGAGAAGAAGAAAAATCTTCTGTCAAGTCTTTTAAGGAAGTTGCTGTAGAATGGCGAGAGACAGCTTTGCTTTCCCATGTCTTTTTCATAAAGTCTGTGTAATGTTCTCAGTATCTCAAGATACGACGACATAGTACGGCGTCTTTTTAGTGGTGCCTTGTTCCGCTGACTTTAGAGCGTTTGCCTCCATCAGTTTGCTTCCACTGGACATTGAGTGGGTGATGACCTGACGAGAGTGATGGGCTGAGCTGAGAAACTCATGGCAGCGTTTTCCGACTAGGTAGAGGATTTCAAAAAAGGAGAGGAGGATGCAGGCCAAGCTGGTGACCACCATGAAGATGGTGAAGATTCTTTTCTCAGTAGGCCGAGAGATGAAGCAATCCACCGTGTTGGGGCAGGGATCCTGTGCACACTTAATGAGACTGGGGAAGCTGTAGCCCTCGTACATGTGGTAAACGAGGAAGACGAAGGTGGCGTCCACGCCTATTTTGAAGACCAAAGTCAGGATATAGGTCCACCACAGGCCTCCACGCTTCTTGCCCGTGTTTGGGTAGAGACGCTTGCAGTTCTCGCCATACTTTAGCTGATTTTTCCGTTCTCGGTCCTCCCTGTAGGCGACGTGCATCACCACCAGGAATGAGGGGCAGGTGACGAAGATAAGCTGGAGGGCCCACAGGCGCACATGGGAGACGGGGAAGAAGTGGTCAAAGCAGACATTATGGCAGCCGGGCTGATTTGTGTTGCATGTGAAGTCTTTCTGTTCATCTCCCCACACCTTTTCTGCTGCCACCACAAACACCAGAATTCTGAAGAGAAAAACAACCGAGAGCCAAACTCTGCCGAAGGCTGTGGAGTATTTGTTCACTCCGCTGAGGAGGCCCTGGAGAACTACCCAATTCATGATGACTTTTGTTCACAGTCTGTCTTCTCTTGCTGCTGATGGAAGAGAGAGGCAGCCGTTGGTGGAACAGACCAACGTGAGGGATGAACTAGCCTGAAACAAGAAGAAAACGCAGTCGAATCACAAATGCATAAAAAGGGAGAAGAAACAAAGTGTGGAGGAGCTGGGTCATAAGCGTACACGTTTGCGTGTTTACACGGATTTGGGGCGACAGTGAAATACACAAATCCGTGTAACGCGAGCAGAAAAGAGACTAAAAACGTATACAGTGTGTTTTCAGTTGCAAAATGTCTGACTTTGGCAATCATCTGCGTGCGGAGTCTCAATCCGTCAAGTCAAACCAGCCTTTCCACTTCACACAGTTTTAACAGTTAACGCGTAATAGCGCAAACCAAAGTAGACAACAAGCACTAAAAATCCACTGAAACAAACTCGCTTTAATATCTGAGCAACTCCTTTACACATGTCTGTGAATACTCACAGTTTAAACCCAGATGTCGCGGTTCAAAGTCGGAGCGGAGTTTGGACGAACCTCTCCGATGACACTCTCGGAACATTTCCCGACAGGATGGGAGTGGAAGGGGCGGAGTCGCTCGTCTGCCTCGAGCTCAGTGTGTTCAGGTGAAATAACTGCTCCACCTAGAACGTGTTCAGTCATGGGGAGTTATTTTGGCTGCTTTGAAATATGCAACAATAATTCCGATGCAACTTTTTTTCCTCCTCGCTGTTATTTTTTAGAAGACTAATTAAAAATCAATGATGTGGTGGATCCTGTTCAGCTGGGAAACAAGCTTAAGCAGAGACAGGCAACAGGCACACGTTAAGGTAAACTGAAAGAATGCATGTCTATTTACACTGTCTGCTGCACGTTTGTGCTAATTTGCAGTTTTTTTTATCTGCATATTCGCTAAATAACGTTTCCCGAACAAAAGTCATTTCAACATTAAAATTTTCTGTAACGCCAAACGTCTACTTTCATTCTTGTTCTAAATGTCTTTACATTAGAGTTAAATTTATTTAAGTATATTATGCCTAATTTGCATATTACTCTTTGCTTTATATTTTGCAGTTCACATTAGATATTCCTGGATTGGAACCGGCCCCTCTCTACTTTTGTGAGGGGCAGCCAAACGGAGGAAGCGAGCTTTAAAGGGAGGATGGTCTTTAAGTGAGTTGCACTAAAACCCAGGTTAAGATTAATTGGGATTATTTGAATCATGCAAGAATAAAATTACGAAGCATATTAGGTCCCTGTAACCTTGCAAAACCATACAACAGTAAATATGTGCAAAAAATGGCCTTCACTGTGGAGCTTTGAATAGGTAAGCAGATAAGACAATCAAAGAAACATGTTTCATTATAAAATGAGTTTATTGAAATATTTACATGGCAGAAGATCTGGTTTCAAAGTACAAAACAGCAAAAGGTCATCTTGCTCTCAGACATGTGCCGCTTACACACACACACACACGCACACACACACACACACACAGTGCTTTTTATTCACACATACTCTCCACAGTCCGAGATGATCACTTTCTGCTTCGGCTTTCCGTCTTTGGTTCCCTGAGCCTGCAGAGAGAAAACAACAACAAGTTATCTGACATGACACGATCGTTCACTGTCAGTCCTTTAAATGGTAAATGGCCTGTATTTGTATAGCGCTTTACTAGTCCCTAAGGACCCCAAAGTGCTTCACACATTCAGTCATCCAGCCATTCACACACTGGTGATGGCAGCTACATTGTAGCCACAGCCACCCTGGGGTGCACTGACAGAGGCGAGACTGCCGGACACTGGTGCCACCGGGCCCTCTGACCACCACCAGTAAGCAACGGGTGAAGTGTCTTGCCCAAGGACAGAACGACCGAGAGTGTCCAAGCCGGGACTTGAACCGGCAACCTTCCGATTACAAGGCGAACTCCCAACTCTTGAGCCACGATTTAAAAGTGACATCTACAGGGCCACAGTAGTCCAAGCTGTCTCTGCAGATCATTCCAGAAACAGGGAGCCACGCGTTTGAAAGCGTTGTTGTCCGATTCTGTTCTGAATGTTGTGAGAGCTTTTATACTAGTATACTGAACATTCTACCCCCATATTCAACATCCTTTGCTCTCCACCATCTCTCTTCTGCACATGTCCAAAACATCTCAGCATCGCTTCCTTAACTTTGTCTCCAAGCTGCACAACCTGGGCTGTTCCTGAGAATTTTCTAAACAGAAGGTCCACCACTGAAACGCTCCAGATGCAAAATGAAGGCGTGAAAAGGCGAAACAAAACTGTGCTGGAGAGGTCTGTGCACCCATCCGGTGCATTCCCAGGTTTATGGAGCACAAATACTGGTGTATATTGAAAAAGAACAGTTTTTTCTTAACAAAAACCTTTACAAAGTGAAACAGCCAACACCATTATAAAGAAAACTCCTACTGCAGCTTTGACCCTTACCTCCATTGCCCTGAGTACATCCATCCCCTCCACCAGCTCTCCAAACACCACATGTTTGCCATCCAACCAGTCCGTTTTGTCAGTGGTGAGGAAGAACTGAGAGCCGTTTGTGTTTGACCCAGAGTTCGCCATGGAGAGTTGCCCTGTGTGCATAGGAGACAACAGTTAGTCAGTCAGCCCTGCCTGAGTCTAGTTCTGCTCGAGGTTGCTTCCTATTAAAAAGTAGTTATTCCTTTCCACTTTCATCAGGTGCTGCACATAGGGGATCATCAGATTTTGGGGGTTTAGATCAAATACCGTAGACCATAAACGATCTGCTTTAGTGAATTGGCAGCATTTCAATAAAACTAGCTTCAACTCTTTCCATCCATTCGCTTCCGCTTGTCCTTTTTCAGGGTCACGGGAGCCTATCCCAGCTGTCGCAGGGCTAACACACAGGGACAGACAACCATTCGCACTCACATTCACACCTTTGGGCAATTTAAATTAATCAATTAACCTATCCCCAATAAGTGCATGTCTTTGGTGGGAGGAAGCCTGAGTACCCAGAGAGAACCCACGCAAACACGGGGAGAACATACAAACTCCACACAGAAAGCCCCCGGCCTGATGGTGGAATTGAACTCAGGACCTTCTTGCTGTGCGGCAACAGTGCTAACCACCATGCCACCCACCACATTCAACTGAATGTGGAAAATATGTTGTTACAATATGTCTGCACAAAGTCTGTGATAACATTACCAGTATTGCAATGATAAAACGTGTGTATTAGCTATACAGGCCTATTGTTCTTCTTTATCAGGTCCAGTCTGCTCGCATAAGCACCAAACGCTGAATAGCCTCGATCCACTCAATCAACAAAAGTAAAAGAATTCAAACATGCTTTTACTGAGGTCAAAAATCTGAGGGTAAATACATGCCACGAGTAAATAAAATAGCTTTTCTTATTCACTGTGGATTTTGCAATGTTCGTTCTGCACGTTCATATAACAATGATGAAGAAATTATGATTTATCAGTCATCTCTATGTCATGAGTCTAAAATCATGCCTTCTGTGCAGAACCTGCCTACATATAGCAGTGCTGATAACCCAAACAAAAACCTAGAGCACCATGATAGCTGGGTAACGTTCTTTGTGTTATGACAGGGAATGCGCACGTTAACACGCTAATAAAAATATAAGACTCTTGAAGTTACATTTTTAGCCTCTCAGCAGGTAACAAAAAGTTATAGATTAGAAGTGGCACTACGAATATTACAGTAACACACCTGCCAGGTTTCAAGTGATCACAGATCGAGTTTGTCACTGAGATGAGTCTTCCATGTAGGATTTGTTACTGCAAACTGTGAGCTATTCCAGTATTTACTTTCCTTTAGTCAGTTTGTTGAGTGGGTTGTGCCTACATAGTTAATCATGTAGCCTGCAAACTACTTTAAAAAGAACTCAATTTCATCTATAACGCTAATTTTAAAAAAGCCTTTGCGTCAGTAAAGTTCAAAAAATCCACCAGTAAGGTTCATTCTTCGTTAAGGCATTACTGTAGTTTTCAGGCTAATAATCCTGAAGTGCCAGAATTACACTTAGTGCCATTTATGTTAAATAGTAATTGACAGTAGTGTTAGTTTAAATAAGTGTTAATTAAAAGTCAGATAAAAAGATTATTATAGCAGCTCTTAGTTACGATGGTATGAGAAAAGTAAGTTTGTCATGAAAAATCCCACTTGTTTGACTCGTGTGAATGCGATTGGAGGATGGACTGATCTGTTACACTCGCTAACCTGTGACTGAATTCTTGACACAAGTCTGTCAGCGAGTTATTTGTGTTTCCTCACTTGATTTACGAGTTTTCAGCTACATATGCAAAGAATTCCAAATGTCAGCAACAGCTCTTCAGTCATGCCACGTTGCTTTTCAACGCTTTAGCAATCACAGGTTTGAAACAAAAATGCTGGCGTGTCCAATCTGGTCGTAGGAACAGGAAGTACGAGCCAACACACCTTTGTCTTTTGTTGCGCTTCTGACGTAAATCACAAAAGAAATGATTCACACTGAAAGACCCATTTTTCCAGTGTTAACAAATCTGGAGACTCTCACCGGATGCTCCTAATTTTATTCTTGGTGATTTTAACAATTGTAATCTTAAGAAATCACTGAACAATTTCTTTCAATATGTCACTTGTCCTACAAGGAATAACAAAACACTGGATTTGTGTTATGGACCAATTAAGGGGGCATATAAGTCTGTGGCCGGACCTGCGCTAGGTTCTTCGGATCACAATGTTATTCATCTCCTCCCTGCTTACAGATCTGTGATTAGGAGGGAGAAGGCCTGTGTGAAGTGGACTAATGTCTGAACAAAAGACAGTTGTGTTGCCCTTCAGGGGTGTTTTGATTGCACTGACTGGTCCTTGTTTCAAGAGAGCACTTCTGATTTGGATGAACTCACCGATGTGGTGTGTAGCTACATCTCTTTTTGCAAAGACTCTGTGGTTCCAGTCAGAGAATTTAAGACTTTCCCTAATAACAAACCGTGGCTCTCTAAAGATATTAAGGATCTGATTCTTAAAAGGAAAATTGCTTTCAACGAGGGAGACGTTCCCACTATGAGAATATTAAGGAAGGAGGTGAGGGCTGCAATAAAGATTGCCAAGATGAGGTATAGAAATAAGATTGAGGCAGAACTCAGCAGTAACAACCTCAAAAGAGCTTGGCTTGGTATGAAAACAATGGCAGGGCTACACACGAAAGGTAAAAGTAATATTACCTTAGAGGGGTTTACCTCTGACAAACATCTGGCAGACAGTCTTAACAGTTTTTACCTTCGTTTTGAGAACTTTGACTGTTCTAGGCAGACCAGCACACTGAGGGAAAAGACTATCACTCCCCCATCAATTTGTATTGATGAGAGGGGGGTAGATAATCTTTTTAGACACACTAAAAGCAAGAGTCCTGGACCTGACAACATCTGTGGACAGGTACTGAGAACTTGTGCTGATCAGCTGAGTGGGATTTTTCACTATATCTTCTCACTTTCTTTAGAGCTACAGACGGTACCTAAGATTTGGAAACATGCGATCATTGTTCCTGTTGCTAAGGGCAGTTCTCCTAAGGCACTGAATGATTTTAGGCCTGTGGCTCTGACTTCTTTAGTGATGAAGACATTTGAGAAGATAATTAAGAAGGAGATTTTAATGCAGGTTGAACACCATCTTGACCCCTTCCAGTTCGCCTATAGAGCAGGAAGAGGTGTGGAGGATGCTGTTGTCACACTCCTGCATCTCTTGTATAAGCATCTTGAGGCCCCCCCACACCCATGCAAGATTATTATTTGCTGACTTTTCATCAGCATTTAATACAATTCAACCCCTCTTACTTGCTGACAGGCTTTACAATCATTTCAAGCTTGACACTAGTCTGGTCGGCTGGGTGACAGACTTTCTGACTAATAGGTCACAATGCGTGAGGGTAAATCATGTCTTTTCTGATGTGCTCTCCTCCTCTACTGGATCACCCCAGGGTTGCTGCCTCTCTCCCCTTCTGGTCATTCTGTACACGAATGAGTGTCGCAGCAATTTCACGAACAGACATATCCTGAAGTTTGCTGACGACACAGTGATCGTCAGTCTTCTAGTGGGGGACGAGTCAGGCCATGGACAGGTTGTAGATGATTTTGTGAATTGGTGTGATGAGTCCTTCCTGTCACTTAATATGTCAAAAACTAAAGACATGATTATTGATTTTAGGAAGTCCTCTTATAGCTCATCACCCACTATCATTAAAACTGCCGTTATTGGGATCGTTGAGAGTTATAAATATCTAGGTGTGGTACTTGACCATAAACTGTGTTTTGAATCTCATGCTGATGCCACTACTAAAAAAGTTCAACAAAGACTGTTCTTTTTAAGGAAAATTAGATCTTTTAATGTCTCATCCGAGATGTTGTCTTTGTTTTATAGAAGTTTTATCAAATCTGTGATGTCTTTTTGTATCGCTGCATGGTTTGGTAACCTGACGGTGAAGAATAAGAATCGGTTGGGACTTCTGGTAAAAACTGCTAGCAAAATTTCAGGGCGCTGGCAAGATGGACTTTTGGCCATTTACAATAGAAATGTGCTTAGAAAGGCTCATTCTATTATTAATTGTTTGAACCAACCACTTCACAGTGAGTTTGAGTTGTTGCTTTCCGGCCGTCGTTTTAGAGTACCTCCGAGGAGGACTAAAGGACTCCAGGTCTCTTTTATCCCCACTGCATCTTCTCTCCTCAATGGCAAATAACTGTCCTTGGACTTTCTATCACTATTATTGTCATTATTATTTTATAGTATTGTTCTGTTTATTTATATCCTGCTGCTAAACTAATTTCCCCTTGTGGGACAATAAAGAAATTGAATTGAATTGAATCAGCTAAAAACCAGGAGCCTTGTTGACATGCTTCACTGCACCTTCTCAGAACAGTATAAACGACTGCTCACCTGGAGCTGTGTGTTTAAGGACAAAGTTTTCATCATCAAACTTCCGGCCATAGATGGACTTCCCGCCGGTGCCGTTGTGGTTGGTGAAGTCGCCTCCTTGGCACATAAACTGAGGGATGATGCGGTGGAAGCTGCTGCCCTTGTAGCCGAAGCCCTTTTCGTGAGTGCACAAGCAGCGGAAGTTCTCTAAAATTAAAGAGAAGAGTTGTTCTAACAGATAACACAGGTTTCTTTCTACACACATGGAGACCAGTTCAAAAAAAGAGGAAAAATTTGGGATTTGTAGCATATACACATACACACCTGCTGTCATGGGAACAATGTCAGCCCGGAGCAGGAAGCGCAGTCTCCCTGCTGGCTTGTTGCCGATCTTTATGTCCATGTAGACCTGAGGATTTACTCTGCCCTTTTTAGCCGGAGGCTCACCCTGCAAGAACAAATTACCGCCTCACATCTTAACAGATTTATAAAGGGAAGACCTCACAGAGACACAGATTAGAAGTGAAATCCTCTCACCTCCTGAGCTGTAGTTTGGGGTGTTTCTCCAGCTGCTGCCTCTGCCTCAGCTTCTTCAACGGTCTTCCCAGAAAACTTTTTCAACCAGTCATCATCCGACCACACTGCAGGAAAGGAAGACTTAAAGTTTGAACCGCTATTGTTTTTTTTAAAGAGACAAACAAAATGTATGAAATGTTTGTTATTCACCTGGTCGAGAAGAACCTTCTTTGATTCTCATGGGTTTGGCAATATTGACGCGGACAGTCCTTCCAAAAAGTTCAGACTCATTCTAGAGGGATAAAAAAAACATTTTAACAATAATCAAGCAGATTAAGGTTTTTAACAGAGTGACGTTATCTGTGAGTGTCTGCATAACAACCATACTAAGAGCTGCTCCAGATCTCAGACTACTAAGGAAACCTGCTTCAGTGCTTCCTTTAATACCTAATTTAGCAGATGATACACTAGACTGTCCTTTATGACACTTAATGAAAACAAATGATCAGGTGACTGCTGTGTTTTCAATCATGTGCCACGACTTTCTAATATTTAGGGTCGTGGTGGGGTTGGGGACTATCCCCGTTGTCATAGGGCGGGAGGCGGGGTACACCCCGGACAGGTAAAAGGGTTCTTTTGATGCTGTTTTTTGGCTATTCAATGGGAATAACATCTCTCGTCTAGCAGTTATATGAGAAACTTACCATGTTATCAATAGCTGCTGCAGCATCCTGCAGAAGATGAGAAAGAAGCCGTAAATAGGTTATGAGGACAGAAATATGTTTCTCCTGAAGTCACCAATAACCATTCAAATGACTCACTTTGGTAAATTCCCAGCTCTTAAAACGGCAAGATGCAGATGAACGCTAATTAATGACGAATACCCAAGTTAATACTAAGTGATGATGCCACGCCAGAGAACAAACAAAACTACTTCAACAAGGAAGTGGAAGATCATATTAAGATTTAATACATTGTCATTTTTAATTTAAATAAAAGTATACAGAGCAAGATCATCATGTGCATAAAATAATCTGTGATTGGGTCATTTTACCTCAGTTCATCAAATTAAAACAACAACAACAAAAAAAGATGGATATTTCAAAAACGAGAGAGAACATCAAACTTTTTTGATATAATATGAACACAAACTTCCTCTTCCTAAAAGCGATGACTTGGATTTGGTAGGTAGTGTCATACCTGTGGAATTACACACTCGAGATGAATGAAAAGGTGTTTTTGTAATATGTGTAAAACCATTCACCTAATGTGAACCCTGGCCTTAAAGATACTATGTGCCTTACTGGGGATTTATGCTTCAATGAGAAATATTATAACTGCAAACCCCTTTGAAACCCTACATCCTAACCTACAGCATAACATGATGTCCAGCTCCCACAAAATCTAACTACATGTGGGGTCGATGCAGCCCACAGCTACTGTGAGTGGCCTGCCGCCGTCAAGCAAATTCCTGGAGGATGATGGCTGAAACTATCAGAGTGGATGTGAGAGAATGTACAAAGAAGTGGAAGAACTGGAGGGACAAGTATGTTTGACCCTTAAAAAAACTGATCATACAAGCACAAGGACCCAGGAGGAAAAAAAAAGTAGCAGTGTTTTATTTGTTTCTATCATAACTCACAGCATATAAAGCACCAGGACATGACTGTTATCTAGCTTTGTAGATAACAGGTTTTTTAAATGATATCGGAGGAATATCCAAACAGCTGCCTATCTTCATCCCCATTAAGTATTTTTAGTAAGATTTTTAATGACAGCAGGGACCTGACATTTTGCATAATCATTATTAAAAAGAAATTTTTGCCTGGAATTTTTTTTCAGGAAAATCTGACCTGACATAGAATGACCCAACGATACTTGTTCCACTGCTGTATCATTTACATAATACCGTTAATAGGCTAATATTAGCACACTGTAGGCTGTATACGCCGGACTCACCTCTGCAAGCTCAAATTCGATGAATGCAAAACCTCTGTGCTTCTCTGAAAATGTAAAGCACAAGACAAAGCCAACACTTTCATCTTGTGCTGCTGCAGGGTTTATTGTTAATCGTGGTTAAAACGGTCCTGATCTTACCCGTTTCATAGTCCAGCGGGATCTGGATGTCGATGATGTCTCCAAAGGGAATAAAGGCAGCATGGAGCACCTTCTCATCCACCTCTTCTGCTAAACCACCTGACGTAAACACGCATTTTTAAGATCCGCATTCCAAAAAAGGGAAAAACACTTTCAACAAATACAGTGTAGAGAGCTGGGATAACGGACAGTATTTACATGCCGGGTTAAACGTGAGCTCATTTTTCGGGCTAAACTTCGCTTTCGCGCGTCTTTGTCGTGTTCCTGACATGCGCAGAATTACTGTTACGATACAGATTTATAATACAGTCGTAAACTCGTAAGCTACATACACTCAAACAGCGAAAATTTAACAAAAACGGCCATAACGTACCCACATACAACACCCGCTTGTTAGCCGCCATATTGGATTTAACCCTTCAACTTTGAACCCAGCAGCTTCCTATTGGTGGAGAGAACCAGAACTAAAACAGGCAGCCTCGGATTACTGAACTCTACCGCCCCCTGTCGGAGGAATCTCCCATTATTACAATAAACTCTGAATTTTACTTCAATTTGGATTTAAATATTTGTAGTTTTAAAGCCACGATGCAATCTGATCTTTGCTTTGATTTTTTTTAAATTAATCTATTTTTGTCCAAGACCGTCCCGCTTAGTTATCAAGCCTATGTAATCAAATTACAGGAAATAAGTAACTTTTATCAGCCTTGGTCACACTTGAAAAGTGCCATTAAATCATAGTTACATTGCCATGGATTACTTTTTTGTTTCTCTTTAAACTGCCACTTTAAATTGGTGTAGAGGGAAGATGTTAAACCATTTTATCACTGGGTTCCTCGAAACAAGTGAAGAAACCCTTACAGGCAAGCTTCCATGTTAGTAAGCCAAAAATAAAATCATTTGATGTGGGTACAGATTTGATTAAATAAAGGCACGAGCAACAACTTACAGTTCACAGTGTAAAAACAATGGAGCATAACTTGGTAAGATTGCTTAGTGGCAAAAACAAGAGCAAAGCAGAAATTTAATGGCAGCATCCAACGTGAAGGCAGAGTTAAAACATACTCCGAGGTTTCCAATAGAAGACTTAGCAAAAATGGCAGGAGGACCTAGAGTTTCCATTACTTTGGGCATAAAATTCGTAAAGGCTCCTGTTTTCTCTTTATTAACTTTTAATAGAGTCAAACTAATTTCCACATGTCTCTCCTAAATCAAATATTTTCTCTCTGCCTGAAACCAGTCCTTTAATCCGTCAGAGAAATTAATCACAAATAGTAGAAAACAATTGCAAACTTCACAATTCCTCAAAACTGTTAATAGGACAAGCTAAAGATAGAGTTTAACATTTTACTACAACCTTTTAATTCTTTGCAAAATTTGCATTTTCAGAAGTAATGTGTAAGCACTGCAAAGCCACTTTGACAGTTTCCACACTGGATCATTTGAATATAGGGAAACGTTTCCTAACTTTTTTCCTTCTTTTTGATTAAATGCTAAAAAAGAAACACCCTAAATAACACCAAACACAACTTATAAGTACGTTATCATGTTTCAGTATTACTTTGTACCAAAGTGTTTATCAGACACACACTTAAGTGTGTTTGGTCAATAACAGGCTTTGCAATTTTGCCTCTGCACACCACCACCATGGATTTTATGTCAAACAGTCAAGATGTGACTGGAGTGACTTTAACCATTTTTAAAAACATAGTTCCCCATTTTCAGAGGTTTAATAGCAGCTGGACAAATTAACTTAATAATTTTTCTTGTTTTTAATATTTGGATGAAAAATCAATGACTGCTGAAAGACTAGAGCCCATGAATATCATCGGGTGCTTCGTTTCATCACTTGAGATGCTCGGCCAGGCTGTCACTGCAGTCACCTTCAGTTGCTGCTTGGTTTGTGGGTCTGTGCCTTCAGTTTTATCTTCAGTAATGAGAAAAGGCTGCTCTATTGGGCTGAGATCAGATGCCTGACTTGGCCACTGAAGATTATCTAGATTTATTTACCTGGAGTAAACTCTTGCTTTTGCAGCTCTGTGTAATTCTCCATTTGCACGTTGTAGTGCTCTCTGTGCGGCTTTATTACAGTTGTCTGAACCTGAGCAGAGTCTATAGCTCTGCACACTCCACATCACATCCTGCTGCTTCCATCAACAGTCACATGATCATTAAAGCTGGTGGTCCAGTTCCACTGCTCGTGCCATAACATTACCTCCATCACGTTTCACAGATTACTTGATATGCTTCTCCGCTTCTGCACACTTTCCTTCTCAATTAAAATAACACAAGGTGAGTCGCCTGGACATATCATCCCTTTATTGAAATTACCACACACCCATTGATAACGTGTTAGGATGGAGGAGTCATCTCACACCAACATGAAGCTTTCAAGCAAAGACAGAGAACAAGGCTCTTTTTACTTCCTCTCCTTTGCCACAAAATAAAGGGCCTTTGTTCAAGATTCATTTGCATCACTGCATCTGGCGTGCAGCGTTAAAAGTATTACAGAACTACAAAATTATGCATTATGTAATATTTTTTCAAAGTGTACATTTAAAATAATGTTTTCCTTTTTTTTCTTGATTTTTGTTTTTGTGCGATTGTTCAGAAGACTCTGGGCTTTCCAGCGTAGTGCGTCTCTTCCCATCTCCTCTCAGTTTTCTATGCTCTGAAACAACACAATGTCTTCCCATTAGTGCCGCACAATCTTTATTATAGCCTAATGAACCTGATTGATTAGCTTGACTAAACATGGATTTCCATACCAAGTTAGAATAGCTCAGAGTCTTCAGGATGTGGCAGCAGCAGCAGTAGGAGCCATGCCACCTACTTTCTGGGTGGCGTCTTTCTTCGCCTGGTGAGCCTGTAGAACTGCAACAGCTTCTTCTACCTGTACAAACACAAACATGAGCATGACGCAGCTTAGAAAATGGATACAGGACTATTCAGTGTGCTTGAGGTAGCGAGGTACCTTTGAACGTAGAGACTCATGGGACTCAAGCATGTGTAGTAATTCAGAGTTGTCGATCTCCAGCAACATGCCAGTGATCTTTCCTGCTAGGTTGGCATGCATGGCCTGAATCAGTGGGAACAGACGCTCCCCTACGGAGGAAAAAAAAAAAAAAAAAAATTGTGAGTGAGTATAAATTTGCCCAAAAACCAAAACCCTGAACAGCATTTGTTTGTATCTGTCAGTCTTACCCAGCATCTGTTTCTGCTCCTGAGGAGGTGCAGCAGCCAGCATGGAGGCCGTGAGGGGCTCTTGGCCCTGAACGTGCACAGCTGGCTGAGTCTGGAAGGCACAGTTAAGACTTAATGAGGAACAATGTGTCAACATTTGGATGCTTAATGTGGGAGAAGTTAATGTGATACCTGCTGTAAGGCAATAGGTTGCACCACCTGGGGGTTGGGGTTACGGACACCAGTGGCGTATTTGTAAGGAGGCATGGCCCGAGGACCGGGGACTCCAACTGAAGGACGAGGACCCATGCTCTGACCACCAGCTAGCAACCACGAGGAAGAAATTACAGTTTTAATAACACGGAAAACATTTGTATAACATCAATATCATTGATTTCAAATTCCAAACCCGTAGTCAACGAATTGATGCTATTTTTTTGTGAATGCACCTCGTGGGCCTTGTGTGCTGCTGCTAGGACTCATGTGTCTGAGGTTGGCACGGGGCCCTGGCTGACGCAGCGAGCTGGGCATTGCTTGGAAACCCCCTGGAAGTGATGAAAGAACAGATAAAAACAATGTGAGTATGGGCATAATGTTCAATATATCACAGACATGTGCTCCATCATGGTCCACAGGCTCACCTTGACCTCGTCCACCTTGTTGCTGCCATCGGGGATTTGGTCGCATTTGAGCGATCTGATTGGGTGCATAGTATGTAGTCCTATTCTGAGCCTGATGAATGCAAGAAAGTCAAATGTGTGATCAATACAAACTTATTATTTTGGGTCCTTGGAGACAATCAGAACAACCCTGACAGCACCATACTCTCTCCATGTTGAGCCCAGCCTCAGGCCGTAGTAGCTAGTCCTCATAAATCAACTCTTTCCCCCATAAAAACGACATTCGAGGACACCCCAGCACCCTCAATGATCAGTTTTGACACCTCAGTATATATATCAATAAAAATGCGGTGGGACGACCATTAGAATAGTTTCTGAGTTTTTCCAAGGATAGCTTCATAGCCAGAGACCACCCTCACTAACCTCTGATGCACACCCAGTCATTTTGTTCTTCAAGCAGGCCTGAAATATGACAGAAACCACCCTGAACATGCATGCGTTCCTACTTGTAGGCTTTAAAGGGGAGAAGAATTAAGTTGCTGCTGCTTCTGCAATGCACTTTGCAACCGATCTCCACTTTGCATGGCATTACTGCCTGCTCTGTCCTGTAACAGGTGTCGCTGCTGCTCATCCAGCTTCTGTCTTTTCTTTGTTTTTGCAAAAGAAGTCATCTTTTAACCAAGTGGTCATGACTGAAATCACTTTTTGGAGCTTTTTCACAATAACACCTGCACTACAGCTCTAAACAAAAATAGTAAAGTTGAACAAAGAAGGTGAAAAGCATCTGTGCATTTGTGATTGTAATATAGCCCTTTCATATTAAACACAGTAATACAATCAGTTTTAAAATGCACATCAAGCCTGAATTTGATTCTCACACCTGCGGCACAGCTGGCATGAAGTATCCACTAGTGGGCTGGAACTGATTAATGATGGCATTAGCTGGCATGGCTCTCATGCCAGCTATTCGCTGCATGTACTGGTTGGTGAGATGGGCTTTGCGCTCCTCTTTGCGCTGAGCAAGAGCCACGTAGAGAGGTTTAGAGCCAACAATACGCCCGTTCATTTCAGTCACAGCCTTGGTAGCCTCTTCAGGGGAGGAAAAGCAGACAAAGCCAAAGCCCTTGGAGCGCCCCTCCTCTAGCATCACCTAAAATACAGACAGCGGAGGTAACTTATGTGTTGAAGTCTCTTATTTATTCAGTGTATTGAGCCATTTTTACCTTAGCACTTGTAATTGAGCCAAATGGAGAGAACTCCTTGCGCAGTTTCTCATCATCTATTGTGTCATCCAAGTTTTTAATATAAAGATTAACTCCCTGAAACAAAAGGTACGATTTATCCAGAACCATCAGCTTACTTACTGACATTGAAATATAAATGTTTATAAAATTAATTGATTTTTATTTTGACAGACAACCAGTAGTTTCGGCAGACCTGATAACGACTGATCCTCTCTTGTTTCAGCTGCTCAAACTTCCTCTTCAGCTCCCCCTGCCTCTCCATTTTCTTCTGAGCTCGGCCCACGAACACAGTCTTGCCGTTGAGTTCAGTGCCATTCATCTCCTCTACAGCCTTAAAATGAAGCCACATTTGTCAGAGAAAACAGACAAGCGCACACTTGACACATTTCCAAAAGTA